CGAAACGCATTTTTGCCAACGCAAAATTATCCACAAAAATATTTCTGTCTGTAACCAGCTCAAAAACCTATACTCAGAATACTTAATAAAAACTATAGGTGGTATACCTATTTGCTTAATGCAACATTTTTTATGTACGAATTCATTTCTAATTCTAAAGCTCATTTTCTTTAAATAAATTTTATTTAAACGTTTGTGGATAGATCCACACATAGTGCAGTATATACACATTGTTAGACTCCATAGTACTGACATGACATTTACCATTTTTAAAGTCGAGTTAAATACAAAAGAAATGCACAAGGTGGGAATAAAAAATGGTTTCGTCGGTAAGTAAAGCAATTAATTAACAATTTTTTTGAAAAAAAAAAATGATAATATACATTTGTCTAAATTATTAATTTCAAAGTTCCCAAGTACCAGTATAATGTCACTTCAAATTCTATGAATGCATTTGTAATTAATGGAGAATGTGAAAAAGATAGCCAGTCGCTGTTAAACAACTATTATGTGAAATATAATAAAGACATTTTCACACATCATGAACTGCGATGGGGTTTTATAACGGTTCATCTTACATAACCATATATTCTTGGTTCTATGAGGTAATAGTATAAATATTTTGCAGTCTTTATAGAAATGAGCCCTCTATTAATAATTGTTTTTAATAATTTCCGGTCAGTGAAATGAGTTTTTTAATCCACACACGGTCTACAAATAATTTATTTTAACATTTTTCACTCGAACTATGCAAGTTTCGTTTATTATTTCCGTCACAGAGCCTGAGGCTCCAACTAGTACAAAAATACTGTTTATCAGAATTAGACCTAACTAAATGTTTAGACATTTCGATAAGAGATCCTTAATTCAAATATTTTTCTTAGGCTGTAGTAACAACCATTCCCCAATTTTTATTATTGAATGTTTTCTAGCTAGACCTAAAAATACAGAGTGATCTTTTTATCTTAATCCACCCAATGTCTCATAGGGTTTAATAAAAAATTTTTTTTTTTTATAAATTGTTTTTCACAATTTTTATATAATTTTTTTTTCAATTGTATTATTACGTTTACATTGATTTATTCAACTTGTTATTCACAAGTAAAATACAATTTTATTTTGGCCAAACTATCTATTGTTCGTTGTTAAACTAGTACAATATTTATATTGCCATTTCTGACAGGTTGCTGCTTTGGGGTGACCGAGCTTACCGCTACAAGATTGAAACTTCTCTCTATAATAATTATGATTGGGAAATGCTTGTCGACAAATCTGAGGAGCTGACACGATCTTGGCAGATATTGAAATTTGACCCCAGGCCGATACACTACATTCGTATAACTGGCGTTTACAGTTCAACAGGCGATGTCAGTACTATCGATGTATGTTTTTATTTAAACTTTTTCTAACACTTTTATGTTGTAGGATTTTCGTTGTGTATATTTGGAGGCTCCCGATCAAGTAACAATAGACCCCAACGTCATTCAAGACAACCGTGCGGTAACAAATACTTTAATACATAACATATGTACTATTACTGTGGCGAAAATTGAGAGGGAATTTCTATTTTTAGGAAACAACGAAACAAATTATACTACCATGACAGATGCATCGGCTCAAACTCCAGACGTTTAAACCAAATTCCAATAGTAAGCATATTTGTGTTCATTGCACACTCGACACGACTTTAAGATATTCTTATTAAATTTTATTTTTCCGCTTATACATATCTATTCTAGTTTTTTCTTTATTAAGTCCTATTATTTTTGAATAGTTATTAATCAATATCAAGTTTTTTAAGCCACAATCTCTCCATTTTTCGTATTTTTTTTTATTGAACTATGTGTAATTTATTAATTTTTCAATTAAATTATTTCTTAGTTAATAAAATGTATTATTTATTGTTTTTACATTCTATTTAAATTAAAAAGAACTTAACAACAAAAAACGTTAACATTAAACATATATTATTACATCGAAAAATTTCATTTCATTGAAAATGAATAGTACAATATGTACCTACAAGTATAGGAAAAAATGATTTTAAAAATTTTCATTTTTCCTATGAAAATCAATGCCCGACATCATAAGAGTTGATCTTAACCCTGAGTTGATCCTAAAATTATAAAACACTAAAATATATATTAACATCATAATTTTCAACGTTTTAGTATGATACCAAACACTTGATGAATAGTTAACACTCTTTTAAATACATAATCATTGTATTTAATGATTATGACCTATTAAAAAACGTGGTAATATTTTTTTATCGTCGTTCTGTTATTTTCTATGTTTGATACGAATTAATATTTTAAACGAATAACAGTTTATATGACAATTATTGGCGATTGGCTTTTTGTATTGGTCCCAAACATGTCATAACATGTCATTGTTGTAAATTGTTTATAATTATCAACCGATTTTATACAGATGTTTTGTGTTATAGATAGAACTCCCCATAGTTGTGTGAAAAGTATAGTTATGTATACCTCACATATAATATCTCAATTTATACAGTATGTTATCTAATCGTATGAATAATATAATGTGTTCAATTTAAGTGTTCAACATTGTATTATAACACTATGCTGATTATTATTTTACGGCCAACTCCAGGTAAATAATATATTTTAAAAATATATGTACTATTAAAATACATTCGAAACTTAGATGTCCAATTTCTTCTTTAACCGAATCTATCAAACTCCAAGCAGATAACCAATTCATATCTCTTGTCTGAAGATAACGCGAAAATTCCTAATAGAATGTTCAGAAAAAAAGTTTTTTTAACACCTCATAATTGCTATTTCCTGAAGAATCAACCACTTTTAATAAAGCAAAAAATAACCTTTTATTTCTCCTTAATAAATGTACCGGATGCACACTGCTGTCTGATCTACAACACCAACATCTTGTGTACTATCAATCTGTAAACTAACATGTTGCTCACCCAATTCTAATTGTATTTTATCTCTTATAAACGTAACGATGGATAAAACAACTTTATTCACTGTAGTTTTAGATAGTAAAGTTACAAGTAAACCTCTACTGCAAGAAACCAGTGACTTTTTTTCCAAATTTTCTTTCCTACGTATGCTGTTTTCTATGGTGGAATTCAAATACTTATATAACGTAGCATCCCGTTTAGCTGTAAACTGTATTAACTCCAAATAATTTATTTTGTTCAAAATATTATCTACATCATTCCATTTGTATAAACTTTCGGAATTTTTAGAGCCTCCGAGCGATATTGTTTTCTATCTGGTGAGTTTATATGTATTTAGTTTAATGTCACTGGATGTTAACGCCTGAATAGGAAATTGTTTGACAACGTTAATTTTTTAAGAATATTAGCGTTTGGACTAAGCTTGAATTGAGATTAAATTTCCTAAGATGATATAAATATATATTTGTCCAAACGCTCGACCGGACCTACGCTTCGCATAAATACCATTCGAGAGAAACCATTTAGGCAGTCGATCTGCAAGTCAACTAGTAGACGTCCCTTCACACCGGTCAACATGTCAACTAGAACTTAAGACTTTAATCAAAAACATCATCTTTAAAATTTTGAAAAGCGTCTGTTTGCGTTCTGTCAAATAATAACAACATTTTAGCAAAATAATCCACTATGGTTTGTTTTCATTTCGAATCAACTCAATAATCATTTTCTCATCTTCATAGTAAAGACAAAACAAGAATAACACAGATGACTTATTTAAATGTCCCTCAATTATTACATTTATTGTACATAATTTTACACAATACGAAAATTCTAAAATTTAATTAGATCAATCAAACAAAACAAAAACGAATTTATATAAAACAAAAAAATATAATTTGTTAATAATATCTTAAATTCATGGCGAGCGTGTAACAAACACAAATATGATAATAACTTAAATATGGTTTAGGCGACCGTAATATCTGTTTCGTTGTCCTCCTGAAAATAGAAATTATGTCTCAATTTTCGTCATAATAATAGTAAAAAATATATAAACACATTAAAGAATTTGTTACCTCAAGATCGTCTTCGACGTAGGAATCCAATGGTACTTGAGCGGGAGCCTCCAAATATACACAACGAAACTCCTACAGCATAAAAGTGTCATAAAAAGCTTTAAAAAAACACATACATCAATAGTACTGACCTTTCCTTCTGAACTGTCAACGCCAGTAATACGAATGTAGAGTATCGGTCTGCGTTTAAATTGCAATACCTGCCAAGATTGTGTCAGCCCTTTAGATTTATTGATAATCAAATCCCAATCCTCATTGTTGACTGAAGTTTCAATAATGTAACTATATGCTTGGTCGTCGCTACTTTCGTTCGACTTGCCCCAAAGCAGCAACCTGTCAAATATGACGAAAATAATTATGTCTTAGTTCAATTATGTATAAGAATCATGAAAAAACAGAGTAAGTAAACAAAAAACTAGTGTAAAATACATTTTTGTTTCACCACTTTCTACTTTGTTTTACTTTTATAATACCGGTTGGTGAAAGATATCAAAACGAAATGATAGTTTATTTATATTTATAATAATACAATTTAAAAGTAAACATAGTAATTTAGTTTATAAATTAAAAAACTCATTCCAACGACTGGAAATGATAAAAAGAATTATCAAAACAAGAAATATGTAGGCCTGGACAGCATATTGAAATGATTGCTATACAAAATTGCGTAAGATGAACCACTATAAAACCCGATTCCAGCAGATGATATGTGTATGTGCGATATCTATCGTAGTCGTCAATGAAGGCATTTAATAGCGTTCTTCTATTGTTACTATTTTTACCTTCGATTACAATTGCATCGACAGATTCTGAAGCCACATTATACGTCTCGTTGTCTTTGGGAACTTGGTTGAAATTAATAAATTAATCAAATATATTAAATCTTTTTTTTTTAATTAAAAAATAAGTTACTTCACTGGATTTCTTACCGACAAATCCGTTTTCGATTCCCCACTTGTGCATATCAATTGTATTGTAACGGACATCCCAAATTCTAAAAGTCGCAGTACTGTCGGTTCCAACAATGTGTATATACCGAACTATGCGTGGATGAATCCACAGACGTTGACGCGATCGGCAATTATAATTTGAGTAATCTATAAGTCGCTCCCAATGTTGCCCATCTATTGAAACTTCAATGTAATAAGAGTAACACCTAAAGTATCACATAATTTGAAAATGTTTTAGAAAAGGTATTTGTAAAAGAGTAAATAAAATAAAACATTAGGTAGAGAGTTGTGAAAAATATTGTCGGTCAAAGAATACAAGATATGAACCACGAATTCTCAATAAAAAAAAAAATAATAGAATACATTTTTTCAATCTTTGATTAGTTTGTTTGTTTTACTTATAATTAAAATAAATTCTTGACAAATAAAAAAATGGTTACACATGTATGAATGAAAGTCACGAATATGTTGAATAATATTATTAAATTGCATTTTTTTTTCTTCAATAATGGCCATTTAAATTAAAAATATTAATAAGTTCAAAACACACCTCATTATTTCAATCCTATGTTCACGCCATAAGGATATATCAATATAGTTTATAATTGATGGAGTATTTAACTTTATTACATTAGTACCGCTTCTGTTATTTAAAACCGAAAAACCCTGAGACCGATGGATAAGATTCACATTGGTAACTGGAGAACTATGAGACTGATAATCAAGACGCACATTGGGTTCTAAAAATTTTGATAATTTAAACCGTCATAATTTAAGATATACAAATATTGATGTGTACAGCAAGCATACTTATCTGTCCCCGAAATTGAGGCTTATCTGTTGACCAAGTGTTACTAAGTTGTATGGCATCTGAAATTGTATCCGAACTAACCAGTTTTGATTCCTTAGCCTTAGACAGATCTCCGTTACTCATTAAATGATATCTGACGGCCGATAAAACATGGATTTCAGTATCACGGTCCAATTCGTTTTGATTATTATTGATCCAGCGACAAACCTCGCGGAATATAACTAATTCGTTGGCATAAAACGTGTCTCGATTGAGAATGTCTTGAAGAGCTCCCTAAAAATTTCAATTGTTTCTTAACTTTTACCAACCACGAGCAATATGATTTTTTTGTTTAAAAAAATATCATTACAGATGTCAATAACAAAAAATCTTCAGATTTCAATATATCCAAAACGTTGTTTTCAATCAAGTTGAGTGATTCGACTTGGAGCTCCTTGTATTGATAAAGTCGTGCCATAGCAAAGAACGAACAAACATTTTGTACATTAAAACTTCTTTGCAAATATTCGTGCAGCGAAAGTTTTAAGTTTGGAATATCAAAATAATCCGAAATCTTAAGTAATTCGAAAACCTCTCTACCCTAAAAAAAAAATGAGGAATGTGTTTATTATTAGATCAAACACATACTATCGGACAAACGGTCATACAAAACTAATAAAAAATATATTTATGCCGTTTAATAACCGCGAAGCAGTGTCGATTATACGTTACCTCTACATCACTTAAATTTATTCGACCAGAATAAATATATTTAAGAATTATTTTAAATAAGGATACTGGTGCTTCACTTATTTGCACATCCGATTCATAGGTTTCTTTAAAATCTCCATACAATAAGCGACTAAAAATAATACATAATATTACTACAAACATTAAGTTTTAGAGCAAAATTAAAAAACGCTAATAAGTTTTAATATCTACTAGATGTTAATTATACCATTTTTGGGATGATAAAACCATTTGTTTTGACTCTCCAAGTATACAAAGATTTTTAAATTTTAAATACTTCAATTGGCTGACTCCATATGCCACAAAGTATATTTGTTTCATAATATTCAAGACAATATTAGGGTTAGAATTAAGTGGGAGTATTTAGAAATATTTGGTCTGATTTTGGCCACAACGAACCAGGAAGTGTAAACTATAATGAATAACAATTATTGTGAACCAATAGTCCTGAAAATTCCATGGGGTGATGCCAACGAGCCGGTTTGACTTGGAAGACCACATATACAATTAAATTAAGATTTAATTTATGCCTAACTTTCAACCCTGAAAAACTACAGAAACACAAAAATAATAGTAATAGTAATAAAAAAAAACAGTTTTTTCCGCCCTGGAAGAAAAACCTAAGGAAATATACTTAAAGATAAGAATTAAATACTCAAAAAATTTGCTGCGTGAGGCTAATACACTACGATGGGCGACCAATTTTTCTCCATTTACATCCAAAACAATATCTGAAAACCTGGAATAAATTTTGAAATTAATTAAAAATACACATACAATTATAAAGAAAGAGATAAATAATCACAAAAAGGGGAGAAAGTTGAACCTATTTATTTCGACAGGTCAGTCCAATTATTTATATTTAATGAAAGCATCCAGGTATATCATGTTTTACTACTTTGTGTACAACCTCGTTTAAATCAAATATTACACTAAAATTAGCAAAACGGGACACACAGCTTACATTCACCATCTTTTTACAGGAATAACTATTGATTATAAATATAATAACATTGTATTATTAATATTTATAAAAAATGGTATAAAATATTATGATTTAACAGAATAGAATATATATTTGGCTATGGTATCAATAAACTTTATAGAAGATAAACTTGCTAAACTTTGAAAACTATAAAGTTAATAGGAACAAATACAAAATCACATACCTGACTTTCAAATAGAGGTTGCCTATGTCGCCGACCAAGAATCGAGTGTGGTCGATTTGCTCGTTACTGTCCGCTTTGGAAGACGAAGACCCCGACATATAACCTTTAGGATTAGAACACAATAAAATGGATAAAACGTTTAATTTTATGGATGAGTTTGTATGGTTCATTTTTTTAGGCCACACTTCCTCCTCACTATAATATTATTATACTTTAAAAATAATTTTAATTTTGGAATTTAAATACTATACTCTAACTTACTTGTTAGTTTATTTTTTAATTTTACATGCATACATTACGATCGTTGATTTAATTTTGAAAGCGTTTTAGCTCATATCATTTTAAAGTAGGTATTAAAAAATATTAAATTTGCTCTCTAGTAAATGTGAAGCTCTATCCACTTTTAAAAATTTAAGTGTATCGTACATTCATAAAAAAAATACTTATTAGTTTCAAAAGTTCATTTGCATATTTTATTTAGCTTCAATTTTTTTAAGATTTAACAAAACAAAAATGAAACAAATGGTTTTCATCCTCTCAATTTTTACTCATAAGAAAGTGAACTCGGTGATAAGATAACACAGAAAAAATTGCATAGTTGGTACTACTAAAATTATGGTTAATAGTATAAGGATACACTATTGTTCTAAGTTGGGTCAACTAAATTTCTTGTAAAAGGCCTTGTGCAGAAAAAGTCGTTAATATGTACCCAAAATATGGCAAATTTTTTAATATCGATTTTATTCACTCATTATTAGTCTTATTTGTATTACCTTATTATTACTATTACTTATTATATATAAGTATTAACCTACTTTGTTTGTTACTTAAAGTTTTGGTTAAAAGATTCCAAAAATAAACGCTCACACCTCGTAGAATAGGCAAATTACAATCCTCTATACCCTAAAATATAAAAATAAAAAATTTGTTTTATATTTCTTCATAAATATTTTTCCAATTAAACACAAAAAATTCAATTTAACAGATTAAACATATGTTATCGGCCAAACGATCACACAACCCTAATAAAAAATATATTTATATCGTTTAATAACCGGGAAGCAGCGTCGATTATACGTTACCTCTAAAACGCTTATCTTTATTCGACCAGTATAAATGTATTCAAGAATTACTTTAACTAAGGTTACTGGTGCATCACTTATTTCCACATGCTTTTTATAGGTTTTTTTACCACCTCCATACAATAAGACTCTAGAAATAATACACAATTTTACTACAAACATTAAATTATAGAGTAAAATTAAAAAACGCTACCCTACTCAGGGGTAAACATGATAGTTATTATGGTCTACTAGTTACTAAGTTTACCGTTTATGAAATGATAAATTGCTTTTTTGTTATTAGAGAGTCCAAATATATAGAACAAGTTTTTTTTTTTAATTAAAAAAAACGTCTATCGGTATGTTCCCTTTAATTTCATAGTATTTTAAACGGCTGCATCATTAAAAATAAGTGGAAGTATTAAAAAAAAAAAAAGAGTTCTCATATTAGGTCACAACGAACTAGGATGTGTAAACTATTGTGAACCAATAGTCCTGAAAATTCCACCGGATAAAGTCGATGAGCCGGTTCGACGTGGAAGTTCTTATATGAAAGTTAAAAAAGATTTAATATATGCCTATCTTTCAAACCTGATTTTCAAAAGCTACAGCTGCACAAAAATAATAATTATAGTAATAAAACAATGATACGAATTAACTACCTAAAATATTCGCTGCGTGCGGCTAATACACTACGATGGGCGGGAATTCGTTCTCCATCTACAACCAAAACAACATCTGAAAACCTGAAATAAGTGTTAAAATTAATTGAAAATAAACGTACGAAAATTACTAATACATTTTGTTTATTATCCAACTAAGATAGTCGGCTTTAAATTTTGTCTTACAGTTATTAATATGTTTCAATCTTATCTTGGTTTTTTACCTTATCTTACTTTTACCATATTATGATTTTACCAGATTAGAATATATTTTGAGATAAGGTATCAATGCATTTTATAGAAGGTAAATTTACTAAATTTTGAAAATTATTAAGTTAATAGGAACAAATACAATATCGCATACGTGTCGCTCAAATAGAGGCTGCTTATGTCGCTGACCAAGAATGGATTGTGGTTGATTTGCTCATTACTCCACGTGTTGGACGACGAAGGCCGCATCATATAACCTTTGGTATTTGAACATATTAAAATTTATAAAACATCTAATGTTTTTGATGCGTTTATATGGTTTATTATTTTTTTAATCGTCTGTTAATTTAATATTTATAATAAGATAAATATCATATTTTCATATTTTGGCAACAAAAAATTGTAAAAATGTGCCTAATCTTAAGCTGGTTACTTCTGTTCCCACCCTCGTTAGCTATTTGTAAAATAACTAAGTGAAAATGTACACTTAATAGAATCAGATATCTACCGTCTACCTATCGTTTGTACACAAACGTACGTTGCTATTTCCAAGTACAAACAAGTTCCCATTTCAGATAATCTCTTCTGTAAAGACAATATTTTAATATTTACCAGAAACTATATTGTTTTGATAAAAATAAAACAGGAAATCTATTTTAGATTAAGCAAGTCCAATAATATTTAAATATTTATTCAATTTGTGGTATAAAATATAGTTTAAGGAGTTAACCACGCAAGCAAAAAAAACATAAAAGGACTTGTTGGTCTTGAGTTTTTTTTGATGATTGATGACATATCTTTAGGGAAGGTGTGTTTTGCATTTAGAGCCATGGGTAGTGGAGAAGAGATAAATTAGTTTACTTTATCTAGGTGAGAGGAGTCCGGGAGGATCGAGTGGGGTTTTAAAACATTGACAAATGTTGAACCAGCAACTCGACCTTTTCTTGAGAAGAGCCGGCAAGGATGTTGTTTTGATGTTGAAGGAGGGCCATTAATTGTTCTGTGTCTAAATAGTGATTTAGTTTTCCACCATAAGGAACCATTAATTGGTGACAGTATAACCTTATAGGCCGCCTCAACCCCTATCCCTATCTTAATTAATGATATATTTACACATTTCACTCATAAAACCAAAGTACTTTTTCTTAATGAAATAACATTTCAGCGAGGGGAGTTTAAAATAATTGTTTTTAATAGGTTAAGAAGTTCTGAAGGTATGCGACCTATGTAAATATTACCCACTACAGCTGCTAAGCAATGTTTAGCAAACTTTATATTAGACTTTTGGTATTTTGGAAATGCGACGACGACTTGAGAGTGAGTTTTTAAAAATGGCTCAACATATTTGAACAAATTTATTTTAGCATTACGGTTCTGCAAAACTTCCAAAGTTCTAAAATGTTTTATTTAAGTCTTTCATATTTTTTTTTAATAAATTGGTTTTTTAGTGCGGCTGTGTTCGGACAAGTTTAGCTTTGTTAAATTATCTTATTCTGAAAATGAATTGTATAAACAAGAAAAAAGAATAAATACATTGTTGGTCTAAGTTTTAAGTATTCCCCAAAACTTTAACAACTTTTCATTGTTTAATGATAACATATATAATGAATTGACAGTTTACAAGTAAAATTCGTTCCAAAAGTCGATAAAATTCTGAATCTTACCAATAAAATAACATACAAATTGAAATATTTATATGTTTTTGGGCTGTTCGCAAACAAAAAATTGTGTGTACAATTTTGCGTAGACCAAAAAGAAAGGAATTGTTTATCTATTAATAAAATATATTATTTACCTGGGGTTGGCCATAAAATAATAAATACTGAAAAAAAAATCAGCATACTGCTATAATACGTGTTCATATAATATCAAATGTTGACCACTTTAAACTATGCACCAAAGAAAAACCACGTCATTGATACTGAACACCAATTTAAATATGTAGACGTGTTACAATAGCGTACAATATTTTTCTACATGCGATGGGATATTATGTTTTAAATGTATCATTGTGTTTACATAGCGTGTACGATTTTTTGTATAGGCGCATGTTATTGGCGTAAACTGTCAAGCATCAAACACACATTGAAGCTGACGTCAGTCTTGTTGAAGATACTTAAATGAGCCATTGAAAACAATATTCCCTTATTTTTAGATCATAAATTACGGGGTAGGACGTGTTACTTTAGACTAGACTACTATTAGGACGTTAAAATATTTCCACCAGTGTAAGACTTTAGGCCAAACTAAAACCGTTTACACACACAAGTAAATGACAACATTTTTTTTTCTATAAGCTACGTTTACTCACACTTTCCTTAGTCTTAAACAATTTACCCCACTTTGTTTTTTTATAATTATGTCTGTATACTAAAAATATTGTTATAAAATTGTTTTGGCTTTAACAATGATTTTTGGATGTTACCATTTTTTGTCAAAGATGAAGTAACTGTTATAAAAAAAAAACGTTATCAGGATTTCATTATTAAAATATTACAAGTGGGGGGGGCCAGGGAAATAAACCTACCTCGAAAGATGAAAATGAAAATTGTAATTTGTTAGTTCAATTGACGTATGTGTTTTTTTTAAACTTTTTATATAACTTAAAATTTTTCTGTTGTGTAATTTGGAGGCTCCTTATCATGTAACATTTGATTCCAATTTTGTTCAAGACGGTCGTACGGTAACAATTACATTAATGTATCTATTTTCTTACAAATCTGTCGCAACTGACTGGCTCGCTTGGTCCCTTGTTTTGCGATTAATGTGTCCCGCACCCTTAAGAGCACCATGTTATCTCGGCCAGGGCTGTCGTGTGACCAATTATTATTAATCATGTTACATTATTCATCTCCACAGATTTGTTAGTTCATTAGCATAGGCGCAAATAGCCTTTGGAGTGATTGTAGTTTAAACCACTTAATATCGAGTAATAATTATTCAGAAATTCCTAAAACTTAACAGGGCTTGGTAAGGACAAAACAATAATGAAATAGTTGGTTTATTAAAAGGTCCCACAGTTATCACATTTATTGTATACAATTTTATATAATTTTACTAAATGCGATAATTATAAAATTTTATTACATTAATCAAATAAAACAAAAACAAGTATGCATAAAAGAGAACAAAATTATTTGACAATAATATTTTTAATTCGTAGCA